GGTTTGTTTCAAGTTTCAAATTGGTGAACTTTTTGTATCAATTAGGTCAAGCAACTTTTCATAATGTGATTACTGCTAATGGCTATTGTTGGTTGTTGTTTTAATGTGCAAACTAGCCACAAAGCTTGTTTGGGTTGTGGCTTGGTGAGAACTTGCAAGTATACACTTGGCTTTTTACACCAGGACAAATTTAAGTATGCGATGTAAATGCTGGAAAAGTTTTTTCCTAAGCTGCTATTAGTGACACTTGTTGTTTGACATAAAAATTGGTGGGATTTATTTTGAGTTGTCTGATGGATCTTAATAATCCATTGATAATCAATAATCCACCATCTGAGAGGAATGCCACAAGCTACTCAGAGGGAATGTCATAATAGTGGGAAGTCAGCATCTGACAAAGCTGAGAGGACAATTTTAGCCTCCATCTAAGATGGGCTCTTCCTGGCTCAGTTTCCCCATTATGTTCTTTTGAAAAGGAATGTTACCCACCTGGCTATTCCTGAGTCTGGCTATGAGGTGGATTTGATACTGCATGGTTGGAAAACTGAGTTATCTGAATCCAAACAGAGCTAAGGATGTTTTATCCTATCATATCTGGACCCTGCAGTCTTTTCTGTCAGATTTGTGTCTTCTAGACTAGAGGCCATTCAGCCAAATTTTATTCAATGTTTATACTTATGTGCTGATTCACATTTCAAGCAACCTACATATGTGCAAGCTACTCATCCTGTACCCTTGCTTGAACTCTATATAATATGGAACTTAACAGAGATTAAGGGGAAGGAGTTGTTTGTTTTCTGGCTCCCTTCTCTGCTGAACCAACATAAAATTCTTTATGAAAACATTTTTTTTTTAGTTTTGGGGGTTTGTTTTTGACCAACAAGATCTGCTGGAGAACCTCACAAAGAATAGTTCTGGTATATTCTTTTTCCTTCAAAGTCCAGTTCCAATGCCTCTTCCTCCAGGAAGCTGCCCTTCATTCTCTCAGCTAAAGGTGTTCTCTCCCTCATAAAATTCTATTGGACCACTTGTTTTTGGCCCTCTGTCTTTTTGCCTTGATTTCATCTTCTCTTGGGTCACTTGTTTTTGGGTACGTGTTGCATACTCCCATTAGAAGAGGGATTCTTTGTTTTTGTGTGAGAAAGTACAGTGAAGTCTATGGACTCCTCAGAATAAATTTTTTTGACAGTTGAAAAGAATGCCAAGTTACAATTAGAGTTTAGAGAAATTAAAGATGTAATCTTTTTCTTATCCAAATTCAAAAAGCTCCTGAAATTTCTCCACAGACCCTGTGGACCCAAGGCTATGAAACCCTACATTAGACTATAAGCTTTCTGAGGGAAGGAACTGGATAATTTTTCTTCTCCTTTAGTGCCTTGTGCAGAGTAAGTGCTTAATAAATGTTGCTTGAATTGAATTGTTCCACTGAATCTGTTATCTGTTCCCTTGGGAACATCTAGTTAGCTTTTCAGTGAGAGCTAATTTAGTAAAACATAATTGGGCAAAAGGTTTTTAAAAAATTACATTTAATATAAAAATGACATTATATTAATACCATATAAATATATACTTTCCTCAATGAATAATAATTATTACCAGAATAAATAAATATCTATTATTATTACAAATATTATATTAAATATTATATAAAGATAAAACAATAATATAACAAATATAATATAATAAATATCAATATCAATCATAAAACATTACAACTATTTAACTACTAAGCACAGATGAAACTTCTCTGTATTCTTAGATCTTACATTTTTTACAAATGACAGCTTAAATTATTTTAAAACCAATCCAGCAAGGGTAGCTATGTGACTCAGTAGTTAGAGCTCCAGCCCTGGAGTCAGGAGGACCTGAGTTCCAATCTAAGACATTCAACACTTACTAGCTGTGACACCCTGGCAACTCACTTAACCCCAATTACCTCACACAAAAAAACCAAAACATAAAAGTAATAGAGTGAATTCAGATGTTTTCCAGTTGATATGGAAATGACAGTCCTTTTTAACTCTTGAATGCTGGGTTTCAGGAAATAGGAAATTGGTCAAGAAGCTGAAGTGTTCTTAGAGTCCAATTCTTCATCCTCAGTGCCTGAGTTTCCTTGTGATTTTGCTCATGAACAGAAAGGCCCTGCTGATCTCTACGCTCATGATTTCCCAGGCACAGTGGCTATATTCTTTACTTTGTAGGTACTGCCTTATTCCTTGGAAGTAGCTCTTCAGGGCCAACCTGGGGTTCTCACTTTCCCAGGAAGGTTCTTCCCATTCTATACCCTGCCCAAGACAGCTCTCTAGCTGTTCCAGTTGCTGATCCAGTCCACTGAGCAGTTGTATGAGCTGGGTCTGATTCCATGCTGCGGGAGTGGCATTCAGGCTGAAGATGGTGAAGATCTGCTGGAGCATCTCATGAACAATGACTGTGACATTTTCCCTCTGGAGCTGGCTGCCTTCCATGACTTTCTTTGGGAAGTTGAAGTTGGTCCTGTCCTTCCAACATGGCACCAGGGAAAATGTGCTCATTTGGTTCAGGAGTGAGAAATCTTCCTGCAGGCCCTGAGTCAGGTCACAGCCTAGGGAGCAGAGGGTGCTGGAGCAGAAAAGCACCAGGGTAATTGTCAACAAGGTCCAGGAGGTCATGGTGATGCTGAAGATAATTTGGTTTGGCTGAGCTGGGAGACCAGTGAGCCTTTGTCTCAGCTTCTTGAGTTGTGTGACCTCTAAGCCACTCTCTCTTAAATAGTGCTGAGTGTAGTTTTCACTTCTTAGCATGGAATTTCCCTTTCCTTTCTCCTTTCTTATACTTAGTTTCCAGTTTTTGAAGATACAAATTTTAAATCAAAAAATCATTTGAATTTTTTTAAAAAGGCAGCTAAATTCACCATTATATATATTCTGGATTAAGTTTTGTGTAAAAGGGATTCCTTCTGGTAATCTTGTATCTGTCCAGCATCTAGCACATGATAGTGCAAATCTAATCAATTATCAAATCTCATCAGAGTTACCTATGAAATAGCTCTTTCCACCTGCCCATCCTTTCCTACTCCATTGTACCCACCAAAGTTCCTCTCCTCATCTACTTTTGCCTATAGCATTGTAATAATTGCAATAATAATAATAACTTACATTTATGCAGAAATTTAAGGTTTACAAAATGCTTCCTGCAGACTCTTGTGAACACACAATAAACCAATATTATTTTGATTTTATTAAGGAAAATCTAAGGCTCTCAGAGGTTTAAGTGACTTGTCTAAAAATACAGAGGTGATAAGTATTCTAGCTTACTTTTGGTCCAAATCTGAGTGCTTTAGTCCCATCCTGCTCTCTCCTACTCCCTTGTAGTTGTGCGTCTGCAATACTTTCCTCCATCTTCTGGCATCTTACTTGTTCAGTGCCTAAGTGTGACCTCTTCTATGATACCCTCTCTGTCTCCTTCCTTCCATTGTACCATGTCTATAATAGACTGCTGTATATATATATATATACATATATATGCATGTGTGTTTCTGTGTGTATGTCTGAACCTAAGAACATACTACGATTGAATATAAAATTTTTGAACTGAACTATTGAACTGAAATGATTTCCAAGATACTTGCCCCCTTCTAGCATTCTAGTATTCTGTGATTCATGCCTGCTATGTAAGACAGAACCAAACTAGATTAAAAATAAGATAGGTATGACTATATCTTCAATGAATCAAGGATGACTTTTAATAATAGACTGGGCTCAATTTTTATTTTCTTTACGTGATTAAGTAAAAGTGGGCAATTTCAGCCCCATAGATTTTCCTTTGAGACTTGCTAACATGGAAAACAGGCTGTTATTGCTATTGTGGGTTACCTATTAAAGGCCTGTCTTAGGGTAACTTAGATTGTAGTAGAAGACAGATTTGACAGTTTCTGTTTTCATTTAGAATCCATTGAATCTCCTTTGGTAGTATGTTCCAGTCCTTGGAAAAACTCTTGGCTTGTGGCTTGTCTTGGCTTCAATTTGCATCCCAAGATGATGATGTCATTACATTGTATTCTGCCAAGCTGAATTTCCACTTGTTCAGTAGGGAGAACACTTTTTCTACTTCCATTTTCACCACATTTAATGTGCAGTTTCCTTTTGATCTGTTTCATCACTTGAGCTTTCGAGGACTTTCTTTGTGGAGGGGGAATAATTGGCCAAAGGCGAAATCACTTTTCCTGCTTCCATTTTCATCATGTTTAATGTGCATCCCAGTAGCCTCATTGTGTTTCAGTGAAAAGAAGACTGGCTTTGGAATTGGAAGACCTGTGTCCAATCCTGCCTCTATCACTTCCTATGTAGGTGATCATGAGCAAGCCCTTTTACTTTTCTAAGCCACAGTTTCCTCATGTGTAAAATGAGGTTTTTGGACTGGATGGCTTCAAAGACACCATATACATGTGTGTATATGTGTATGGTTCTCTGTAACAAAGGCAGCTAGGTGGCACAGTTGATAGAATGCTGAACTTGGAGTCAGGAAGACCTAAGTTCAAATCTGTCTTCAGGCTCTTAAAAGCTGCATGACCTTGGACAAGTCACTTAACCTCTGTTTGCCAGTTTTTTCATCTGTAAAATGAGTATATTAATAACATCTTCCTACCAGAGCTGTTGTGAGGGTCAAATTGAAATTATATGTTCAAAATGCATAGCACAGTGCCTGGTACATAGTAGATACTATGTAAATGCTAGCTATTATTATTATTATTATTATTATTATTTTATTATAAATAAGAAATAGATGACAAAAAAGTTTAGAAAGGTTAACCAACCCGTTAACAGTCTGATTATATCTGATTGTATATTTTGTATTCTATACTCATATTCCTCCCCTCTCCAAAGAAGGAAGGAAAGTATATATACCTTTTTTTCTGTTCTTTGGGGCCAAACTTGGTCCTTAAAATTACAATGTTCACTGTCTTTTTTTTTTTGGCTTTTTATTTTGTTCTTCCCACTTATATTGTAGTCATTGTGTATGTTTTTTGCCTGGTTCTGTGCACTTCATTCTGCATCTGTTCATATGTCTTCCCATGCTTGTCTGAGTTCTCTATAGTAAATACTCCTTACATCACAATAGTATTTCATTACACTCATGTCTTTCAATTTATTTACTCATTCTCCCAATTGATGGGCATTTCCTTTGTTTCCAGTTCTTTGTTACCATAAAAAAATGGTTAACCACCTTTATTAATTTGTGTAGGCATTTATTTTCATGAAATGCAGGTGCTCACTAGAGAGTCTTAGAAATTATGATATACTACTGTGAATGGCTTAGCTATTCTCAGCAATAAAATGATCCAAGACAACTCAGAAGGACTTTTGATGAAAAATGCCATCCATCTCCAGAGAAAGAATTGATGTGATCTGAATACAGAATGAAGCATTTTTTTGACTTTATTTTTTCTAAGGTTTGTGTTTTGGTCTGTTTTCTTTTACAACATGACTAATGTGCAAATATCTTTTGCGTGACTACACATGTATAACCTACATCAAAATACTTGTCTTCTCAATGAGAGGGATGTGGAGGTAGAAAGAGAATTTGGAACTCAATTTGAAAAGCAAATGTCGAAAATTGTTTTTACATGTAATTGGGGGAAAACAAAATACTAAATAAATATATAAATTCCTTTAAAAACAAGAAAAAAGAAATTGTGATATAAACTAGATTTGTATATTGGGAGGACTGAGCCATGAGGACCAGCACCTTTGAGCATGTATAATATGTTATGCCAGGTTCCATTACATTCAAAGTCTACTTCTAGGCATGGTAGAGGGTCACTTTCTCACAATCAGAGGCTGCTCAGATATTCAATAACTGTTTCCTTTTGATTTACTGTGCAATGATATGAAGTCTTTTAACTGGCTATTTTTAGAATTAAGTATAGATACATAAAATTCAAATGAATGGAAAAATGTTCTCTCTCCCCGGTGTCTTTCAAGTAAGAAGGGAGAATTGCTGTGAGCTGCTGAGTCATGATAGCTTTTAGCATTTCTTCTACAGTGATGGTCTATACCTTGTTTTATTGTGCACTCCTATCAGTAAACATTTTTTGAGCATATACCCACATTATTACAAGCATCATGTGTGTTTATTTCTTCATAAATTAGACACACAAACTACTATACTGATAATTATAGATTTTTAGAACAGACAAAAATAAAATGAAAAAGGATAAAATAAAGATGAAATAATATTTCATTCTAGAGACAATAGGGAGTCACTGGAGTTTATTGAGCAGGACAGTGACATGGTCAGACCTGTGCTTGAGGAAAATGGATGGATTAGTTTGGGGCAAGACTAGAAGCAGAGAAACCAATTAGGAGTCTATTGCAGTAGTTTGGGCTGGAAGTAGCTAGATAAGTAGAGAGGAAACATATATATGAGAGAGATTATGATGCTAGAAATGATGTGGTTTGGCAACTGATTGGACAAGTGGCATGGGGGAAAGTGAGGCATTGGAGTCAAAGATTAATGTCATAATTTTGAGCCTGGTGGGGAAGTTTGAAAGAGGGGTATGTTTGCAGTATTTGAGGGAGGAGGAGATAATGTAATCACAATCACAATCCATCCATGGCTGTCCACTCTTTCTCACCAAAAAAGAAGAGAAAAGAAAAATTGTGCATGTGGGCTTACTCAATGGTCATTGCTTTAGACGCTGAGGAGTGTCTGCCGTAGCCAGGAAGTGATGGAAGTAGGGGAGACAGAGGTTGAGAATACTTTCATGTCTTGGTCATATCAATAATCTCTGAGAAGCTAATGCCCTATGCATCCCAGGAAAGCCAGAAGTGAGAAGGGATATCAGGGGGGAATGTTTAAGGCTATGGTGTCATTTTGTTGGAGACAAGGCCACAAGGAGAATAGGGTGGGAATCAAACAATTTTCCCACCCTTCAATTGATCACATGTTCCTTGTTGTTCAGGCCAGGTCCCACCTAAAATTACTTATTCCACATGAGGCCAATGTTCTAAAAAAATCAGTCATTAGTTGATTTAAATGATGCTGCCATCTACTGGTTCAAGTTGTCATGTGTTGCTTAGAGATGACTAGACAAATGTGCTTGGTCCTTCAATACAGATCTAAAGACCTTAAGTCAGCTCCAGGGAGTAAATTTCCTGAGTCAACTACACTTATCTTTTAATGCAAAAGATCTCATTATTGGAAGTCACTTAAGAATGGCTCACCTCAATGGATCTTAGAGGGTTGTTGTTTGTTTTTTTTTGTTAATTCCAAAGGTAAAACACCATTAAAATTTAAGCTTTTAAGGATAATTCTAAGTTATTGTCTCTCATTTCTTTTTATATTCTCAGGATCTATTTCCCTCACATTGAGATGGTGACTGGTTGAAACTTTTTTTATTTATTTATTCATTTATTTATTTATTTATTTATTTATAGGCAATTGGGGTAAATGACTTGCTCAGTGGATAGAATACCGGCCCTGAAGTCAGGAGAACCTCAATTCAAATCCAGCTTCACACCAAACACTTGACACTTACTAGCTGTGTGACCCTGGGCAAGTCATTTACCCCAGGTGCAGTAGTTTGGGCTGGCTGAAACTTTTAGCAAGACATTCTGAAATACAGAGTTTCCCACAAGGAGTCAATTCTTTTAAAAATTGAAGTAATGTT